GGCGCAGCAGCGGCGGCCTGGGGGGCGGCGGCGGCGGCGGCGCGCGCGCGGCGGCGGCGGCGGTCGCAGCGGCCAACGCGGGGGTGGAGCTGCCTGGGGCGTTGATCACCGACCCGCCCACTGTCACCGCGGCGGTCTGGCTGTGCATCGACGCCGGGCAGCGCAGCGAGACGGCCTTTGCGGTGCGCGGTCGTGGCCGCGTGGGGCGGGGTCCCTGAGGCACGCGCCGGGCCCGGCCGCAGCACGCGGCGTGCGATCCGCGGCGGCGAGTCGTCGGGCCCAATAGCCAGGGCACACCTTGCCTCCCGGTATCTGACCCTTGAAACCCTCCCCCCCCTCCACGATGGGCTGCGGCTGCAGCCCCGACCCCAATTCAATGCGCTTGACTGTCCAACGTGCCCTCTTCCAATAGCAATACTCCCCTCTGCGTCGACCTTCACTCACTCCTCTGATTGCGAATGCAATGAACATGGCAGAATGCTGCCGAGGCGGCGAGGCTGCGCCACGCGCGCATGCTCGACGCGATCGCCCACGGCCGCGCTGCCGCGGCGGCGGCGCTAGAAGAAGTTGAGGAGGCGGCGCGTGCGCGGGAGCAGCAGCAGCGGCGGCGGCGGGGCGAGCGGGACCGCCGGAGACGAGGCGGAGGGGGGGCGGGGTCCAGCGACCTGGACTCGGAGGACGTGCTGGATCTCGTGGCAGCCGAGGAGGCGGACGAGGATCTCGGGGAGGGATCTGACGCGGATTACTCGGGATCTGATGAGGGGAGCGAAGACGACGAGGCGGAGGACGGCAGCGACGAGGACGGCAGCTGGGCGAGCGGCGGCGAGCGTCAAGGGGTGGGGCGGAGCCGTGCAAGCACGCGCGGCCGGCGGCGACGGCGGGGGCGGTCGCGGCGGCGGCGGGGCGGCGCCAGAGACGAGGCCGTGGCGCCGCAGCGGCGGTCGCTGCGGGTGCATGGGCGGCGGGGAGGCGCGGAGGGCGCCGCGGGCGGCGGGCGGCGAGGGGAGCAGCCGCAGCAGCAGCAGCAGCAGCAGCGCGCGGCGGCGCCCAGCGGGCGGGAGCTGAGAAGTCGCGCCAGAAACAATGCAGCAGATGCAGCAGAGGGAGCAGCAGATGAGGAGGTGGACTTGGAGGCAGCTGAGGAGGCACTGGAGGCTGCCAGGTGGGGGTGGGTGAATTCGAACCGCCTCATTGTGTTTGAAGCCCTTCCCGGGGGGGGGGGGGATCTCGACGTTGCTGCATGCAGAGCAAGGGTGATTCATGACTCTGTTGTGCTGCCATGGGCCGACGGCAGTGGTCGCACAGTGCAACGCCGCCGTTTGCTACCCTGTCGTTTGCTGTTATTGAACGACCACGATTTGCATATGCTAGAAATAACACTTCATCGCCCCGCGGCGCACCCCACCGTGTGCCGTCAGGCGCAAGCGCCGCCGCGCCCACAGCGAGCCGCGCCAGCAGGAGGGAGCGCGCCGCCGCCGCCACCCGGCGCGCAAGCGCAGGCGCGGCGACGCAGCCGCCGGCGGCGGCGGCGGGCGGTACCGAGAGCGGTACGACGACGCGTCGTGCAGCGACGCCGTCAGCAGCGGCGCGGAGGAGGACGCCTCCGGCGCCACCAGCAGCGGCGGCGACGGCGGCGCGTCCAGCGACGGCGGGCGGCGGCGCGGGCGGCGGCGCAAGCAGGCGGCAGCGGCGGCGCCGCCGCGGCGGGGCGGTGGTGCGAGGGGCATGGGCCGGCCGGCGGAGTCGTACTC